TTATATATAAAGCAAGCTTCTTGGGGCCTGTAGATAAAATTAAAAATATGGAACATTTATATACAGTGTTAATAATACTAGTCAGCAATACATAGCAATATTAAAGCTTAATAAACACCTGTAGAGGGTGTACCATTATATACTGATAAATTATGGCTCTAAAAAATTGTAATACACAATTTTAAAAAAATTTTAACTATACTTTATGGTAAAAGATAAACTGTGTCAGTAATTCACTTTTGTGTAGCGATTTAAAAATGTTTTTATTATAATCTCTTAAAATAAAAATATAATAATAATATATTGCTCTATACTTTTTTAAAAGTAAATACTATGAACTATGGATTTTTACTCCATGTGTTCTTTCTCTCATATATGTGTGTGTGTATATATATATATATATATATATATATATATATATATATATATATATATATATATATACACACATACACATACACATACATACATACATAAAATATTATTTATTCAACTTTATATCATATGCATGTTATAATACCACTACAAATTTTGCTTTGACACTTCTGGTGTCTTGTCCAGTGATGATGAAAATAAATGATTTTAAGAGTACAAAATTCAACCAAACCCCTTCAGTGGTGGAAACATTGTTACGTAACTTATGATGACCAAATAGAATACAAGTATATGGTAATTTAAAATAACATCACAACATATTCTGGTATAAGTACAATCTATTAGTGTATAGTGCTGATTAGATTAAATTAGAAATCAATATAAAAATTAAATTTTAAGTTAACAGGTAAATTTAAAATTAAAAATTAAAATTTCAAATGTCAAATTCTAAAGTTAACCGAACATCATGTTTAATATTAAAGATTATTCCGAAATGAAACCAGGAGAAAAATACATTTTATTGTACTTAGTGAAGTTAAATTCAACACTGATGAAAAAGGTATCCCCAGTCACTACACATATTTGATAGATGGAAGTCAGAATTCAAATAAGGAGTTAGGTAGGGAAGGGAATTTTCAAATGATAGGACAAACACATTCACATAATAATACACACATATGTATGTAAATATATGAGCACACAAATACAAGGAAGTATATTCACACAGGAAATAGAGGAAGGAAAAATAAAAAACAAAATAAGAAGTAAAAAGAAGAAAAGTGAAGACAAATAAAAAAAACCCTGCAAAATAAAGGTATGTAAGACATATGTATATACAGATAAAAGCATACACAAGCAATCACACATGCACTAATAAATCTGCACAAACCAACCATCAATATTTTACATACATAAACAAACATATAGTTAAAAAGAGGATCTCATAAAAAGAAGTGCATATACATGCAAATGTACGACGCATATATATACATAGTTGAAATACACATATCGGGCAATAAACAAAGCAAAGAAAAAAGACATATATACATATACACACATATAAATATACACATGCATATGCATACATAGACACAAATACAAACAACCAAACTCACATGTGCTAATAAAATATGCACACAAACAAAATATCCACATATATACAAATATATAAACACACATGCATACCCACATATACACAAATATATGCATATATACACACAAACATGCACACAGATATATATATATATATATATATTTACACCCACATACATACATACATAACCATACCAACACACAGACACACATGCACAAATATATATATATATATATATATATATATATATATATATATATACACAAATATGTAAACAGATATACAAACAACCACACATCCATACATACACATGTGTATACATAGATAACAATAATGGATTCTGATTCCATGTAAAATTAATGCACAAACGATCACAAATATCCAATATCAAACCTCAAATAGATAATTAACTATCTATGTCATGTTAAATTACTAGCAAATAAGGGTAGGTTATAGTTAACATCAGTGATCAGTGTTCAATAAAAAAGTAAATATAAATAAGTAAAGAACCAATAAATAATAATATTACTAACTAATAATATCATTATATTATCATTCATAATATTACTACTTATATTGCAAGGTAAAGTGTGAACTATGTCTACAGTTAATGGTAAGTTCATTCCTTTAGTTTAAAAGATTAATCCTGTCCTTAAATCTAATAATTTCTAATTTTTCATTGGTGTGTATAGCGAATTACAGGTTTGAGCCCTCCTATGTAGTTTCCATTTAACTGTAGGAGTTTTGTTTTCTCTTTTAAACTCCGAAAATACTTTGAGAACAAATTACTCTTGTTGAAGGATAGTACAAGTTGATACTATCTGGTTTTAAATGTGTTTTTAGTGCTTCCAATGTAGAATTTTTTAATACTCTGGTTTTCTAGTGTAGAAATAGTACCAAAATAAAGCAGGGATCTAGCTAAGCAATAAATTTTGTAGTGGACAATCATTGGAATTCCTGCAGTTACAATTAGTATAATTATTATCATTTACTGCACCATTGCTATACATCCTGCTGCTTGAATTTTTATATTTGTTGAGGACTTTATTATTGTTTTTTAATGATTTTTTTTCAAGGTTGTCTGTACAACAATTTCAGTGTATTTTTACTAAATATTTTACTAAGGGGATTAGTACTGGGAAAATGTTTATTAATAAGGCTTATGAATTTTTGCCTTAATTTAGTTTTAACCATTAGGTTGAAAGGGGGTGAAAACTAAATGATGTTCCTAGATCTTTTCTCCTTATTATGGTCATAAATAATGGGATCTCTGTACTTAATAGTAGTACATTTATAACAACTATTTCTAAGCACAGATTTCAATTTTACTGAGGGGGTTTGGTTGGTTTTTGAACTCTTGAAATCATTTATTTTCCATTCATCATCATCACTGGACAAGACACCAGAAGTGTTGAAACAAAATTGCAACTTTTGTAGTGATATTATAACATGCATATATTATAAATTCGAATAAATATTATTAGCTATACTCAGTATTGAGCAGTCTTTTAAGAATAGTGTTTTTGGTTATTGGAACTTTATTCCATGTGTACCATACACACACACTCTTATATATATATATATATATATATATATATAATAAAATAAAAAACAAGACCAACTTTACTGTTCATGATTAAAAAAATAAAAAAAACAGTTTGTGGTTTTTTATTTATCACTTAATAGAGTATATATATATATATATATATATATATATATATATATATATATATATACACATGATATATTACATATATATTATAAAATATATGTATATATATATAATATATTATACAAACACACACATATATTATACATATACTGAGGCTGATGGTTGCGGGGCTCAGGGAATTTTTGTTCTTAGCCTGGGTGTACACGCTTGGCCTCCCCACATTAAACTGACCTTCTGTCACAATGCAACTTCATGGGGAGGGTTGAGTAAATACCAAATTACTATAAAGTAGAGCTGGGGCTTTTCAATCAGAATTTATGTGAGAATTGAGCTCCAGTTTCTCATTTATTCATACAGATCCGATATTATAGGTTTTACTTAATTAGCTGTTATGTTTCTCTAAATCTTCAGATGTTGAATGTATAACTAATTCTAATTTCTATTTTCCCATCTTTACACTATATTAATTTTATCATATAAATTGTCCCCTGTTCTGTCACTCATGAAATAAAAATAATTGTTTGTATGAAAAATATACAATATACGTACATCAAATCGTCTTTAAGTTAATTGGCAGCAGAAGAATTATTGTTGAACTTTTAAAAGGTAAACTTAAACATTAATTCAATACTTAAATGCAGTGATTAATTTTGAGTTCTTCTGTAGTTTATTGATGTCTCCTGTATCTACTCATTCCTAGCTATTGTGATGATGGCCAAACCAAGAGTCCTCCACAGGAGTTAGGTTAAATGCTGCCCAATAGGGGGGGCTTTTAAGCTAGCTTAAAATTTTAGCTAGCTTAAATTTTAAGTTAGCTGCAATTTTGGATACAAAAGAAAAATAAGAGTTACTCCCCTTCAACCATGAAAGCAATGATAATGGCTAGTATAATATATTAATATATATTTTTAACCTTGCATAATCTGGCAACCCTGAATTTGAGCTCAGCGAAAATCATTCCGTGTGCCTAACTTTTCTAGGACTTTTGAATGATCTATGAATCATTGAAATTGAATCAGTGGGAGCCGAGGAGTTACTTGGACACACAAACTCACACAATGTACTTTATGTATTTCATTGAATATGGCAGACAAGGTGCTTTGATTTAGTTTTTTATACAATTTCTCATGTGATCTAATACTTTTTTTCTTTTTGGATGAGAAATTATATAAAAACTGTCCAATTGTTCTTTTTATCCGAGCACTTTTGGCTATACATTTAGCCATTTTCAAGGTTGAAATATATTAACTGTTAATAAGAAATAGATTGTTGTATGTATGCATTTATATAATGTTTTCATTTTCAAAACACAATCAAGATATTATGTCCTAAATATATAAACATAAGCAACAATATAAAATATAACATGTGCAACAATATAAATCCTACATTGCCTTGATAAAGTCCCTCCAAGAAAGAAACATGTCAGCTAAGAATAGTTTTTCTTCTTGTCTCTTTTTATTCATATATATATATATATATATATAAAAACTGCTACTATTATGAAATGGAATTCTTTTTATACTTGATCTATTATTAATATTTTAATAAACTGCTGTTCCTGAGTTAACTCATATTTTTGTACAAAATAATGATACATTTATATATTTCATTAAAAGTATTTTTTAATCTTGTGAACTATATTTCATAAATATTTTCCTAGTATGTGTAAGATTAAAGAATTTTGAAAAATAATGAAAGTCAATGCCTTAATGATTATTCTTTTTTAAAATATATATGTAGAGAGACAGACAGACAGAGATTTATATAGAGAAAGAGATGATGACTTGCAATTTATGTTTAATCAACTTACCACTGCAACAAAAAATTAAAAAAGTATTTGATTTTAATGCAACTTACTGCGCCCGCTGTTCTGTTGTATACAGGAAGTGTGACTGTTGTCATCATACCTAATCCCTATAAACCAAACAATTCTTAGTTAAACTGATACAAAATTGATGTGTATAAAATATTTATAATTATAACACAATGATAAGAAAATGTAATTAAACAAATTATTTTTAAAATTATGTGATAATAATATGAAAATTTTTTAAATTTATAGATACATAATTTAAATATTTGATGCTTTTAAGCACTTACATATTAATATTACAATTTAAGTAATATTAAAATTCATAAATATATACAACATAAAATGAGCATTTGCATAAAGTAACAAAATAAGTGTTAAAAAACTAAAATGAATGATGATAAAAGCATATTTTAAATTGTAGATGTTAAGTTTTATATTAATTTAACAGCTATAAATAGCACATGCATAAACACTTTCATTACAAAATTATTATCTAATTTTAAATTTAAAGAATTAAAAAGAAATTATGAAAGATTTATATTATTTCATAAATTTTACAATATTACAAAACTGCAAAAATTATTATACAAAATAACAAATTCTAATCAAGTTTACTATCTGTAATTGTAAAATTTAGTCAATGTTTATAAAATCTTTAACTTCTTAATTTTTACAAAATATAAAAAAATAGAAATTTATTAGTTATTTGGAATAATTACTAAAGAATTAAACATATCCTCTACAAGTATCTTAAAATTTATTTTCTCACAAATGTATAATATCTAAAATTTAAATTGATATTACTGTAATTAAGTTTTCTTAGTATTTTAAACAAGAAACTAAATGGTATTACATAAAGTTTGTAATTTGAACATATGAAATGGTTAAAAATGAAATGTAAGTATATAAGTGTTCTTGTATTTGTTTCAATATACTCCACATATACCAAGTAAGCAAAATATGCTCCTCCAATAATGCATGCAAGCCAATTTGATAATGTGAAAAGACACCAAAAAAGCACATAAAAATAAATGTTAATGGTTTCATGCAATAAAATAAAACAGTATGGTCTCACAGAGGTTCTTTGACATAAATTGAAAATTGATGCTAACATGTTAATATAACATTGTGTATAGGTATCAATAGGCAAAGGACTATCATGCAGCAATTGCTGAAAAAAATGCACCCCACTTTGATGTTTAGTGTTTAGTAAAAAAAAATGTTGCATTAGCAAGTGACAACAAATTTTATTAAAAATGTTTATTTCTCAATATAAAGTGCAGACCATTTTAGTAAAATTTTCATGATTAATAAACAATAGAGGTTATTTAAAAATTACTTTCAATCTACAAGGGTTAAGAAAAAATTGTATCTTAAATGTCCCAATGTTGTCCATTGCTTAAATACATGCTAAAAAGAATCATGGAAATATAAAAGGATTGATATGATATTAGAACTATTGAACACATACTATGAGGAAATATATTTTGGAATCATTTCCTTATGATAATTGTAAGAGGCATGCATATTGCTTATTGGCACATTATATTAGATTGGTACTATACAGAAATGTATCAAATAGGAAGGAAACAAGAGCACAATTCAAAACAAACTGTTTTAGTAGGAGTAATATTTGCAATAGTAAGCAAAGAATCAAGACAAAAGTTTGTAGGTGATTGAATCAAAAATCAAAAAGTTATTAATCAAAAATAAATCTCTGATGAATCAAGTAGCAAAAATTGACAGATAATTCTAAACAGTATCCCATTTTATTCTAAACCTGAGTTTTCAAAATAACAAGAAACTGAGCTGCTTTAAAGTCATTCTATGTTTTTTTTTTGTTTTTAAATAAGGATCATAATATTAAATTGGATGACAGAGATGTTTAAGTAATTAACATTATTAAATATCAGGTTTGTTATGCACATCAACATTTTAACTATACTTAGTTCCTACTGAAAAAAGTTCTAGTTCAACAACTGAATTCTAGATAATATTTTGGTTAAGCAAATTATTTCCTCTAACAAAATATGCATTCCAAATGAGTAAAAATTAAAACTTTTTATTTTTTATTAAATTGCATGTTTTGATAAAGAATTCAATAAAATGTCAGTTAAGAAAACAATCTATAACTGCTCAAATTCTTGCAGATAAATGTAGATCTTAAGACTTTTAAAATATATTTCTCAGTATTATATATATATATATAATCTTCCACTTCGTCATTATGTTGAGAGGCCAGCTATAAAATTTACATCAAATTTGTAAAAGTAATTTGTGTTAAATATATTTTGATTACAAAAAAAATCTACTTGACAAATCTTTACAAGTCATTTTGAAAAATAAATTGAAAAAATATATTTGCATATTCTTTTTGTGTGAAGAAATTTTATAAAAACTTTAAAATAAAAACTTTTCATAAAGATAAACAAGAGTAGTTACTAAAATTATAGATTTCATTCAGTCTTCCTGACTGACCATTGGCAAAGAAGTCAAAATGATTTGGGTCTGAATTGCTTAGTTTCTGCCAAAATTCATAGAAAATACTGTATAGGCTTGGTTTTATTAATAGTATATAAATGCTAATTCAAGAAGCCTGTGAAAGTGTAATTTATTGTGATCTTTATTTCAAAAAAAGGATTATTAGTAAAGTTTGTCATAGATAAAGTTTTTTCATTAATATTGGAATAAAAAAAAAATCTATGAGAACTCAGACCACTATATATCATTGAAATTTTCTTTTTTTTTCATTTTTTTATTAAAAGTAGTTTAACAAGGTAATGCATCACATAACAGCAACTTTAAGGTGATTGCATCCATAGAAAATAAGACAGAAAAGAGAAAAATGATGTTAGAGGAAACAACAATATATTACACAAACAAATACCATTAAAATTGCTAGGTGGGTATATGGATGGAGATTTTTGTTGACTTTTTTCCTTTCATGAACAACATATAAATAATTTCAGAATTGATGATTCCAATCTCAAATATCAGTTATTTAGCATACCCTAATTAATAATGCATACTTAAACAAGTTTATTTTGTACCTATGAATTAAGTAATTATCCAACTCTGAATAAATTCCAGATAAAAGGAAATGTTTTTAAGCAACATCTAAATCTTTTTTTTAATAGTAAATTTTCACTCTGAATTTCTGGGATGAGGGGTTATTATTTACACTCAGACTATTGTCCTCATCTTTTTTGCAATAATAACAAAAATGAGGACAATATTCCAATTGTAAATAATATAAATAGTAAATTTTTAATAGAAATATATTTCATTTTCATTATATTGATAGCAGTATATAAATTTATTTTAATTTTATTACAATCAAAAATTTCACATTTTTACTTGAAGTGCATTGAGCTAACTGGTCAATAGTATACTTAGGAGTATATAGATTTGTGGTGAATACAAGATAAAAATAACTCTCTTTTCTCCATTGTTTTCAAATTCGTGAGCCTATGTGAAAATTTATTTTGACCAGTGGAAAAGAGAACAGCTTACAAACTGAGAAAAAGTAATGAGCTGATGTGAAATCGCTTTTTGATATAAATAGGCAGAGAAAGTTGAATCAAAGCAGAAAGAGAGAAAAAGCAGAAAGAGAGAAAAAGCAGAAAGAAGCAGGATGCAGAAAAGCATAGTTCTATGCATCTGAATAATGCATCAAATTGCACCCTGATACATTATCAGCTTCTAACGAGAACAGGGCAATTTCAAAGAACTCTATTCAACTCCAAAGTACTTTAAAATATATCTTTTCAAACATATTGAATACAACCGTGTAACTTTTATGTGAAAAACAAACTATTTCAACGAACTATCTCAATTTGTTTTAAACATTTTGGAATATTACTTATGATTTAATACAAACATATTCTGATGTTTACTGATGATTTATTGATGATTTAATACAAATATATTCTTTTCTTGACAATTCATTGAAACTATGAACTTTAGATATTTGATTCCTTTTCCTGAAACATGCTACTGATAACTTCAAATGTGTAAATAAATTCCTTATCTTCTTTTGTTAAATATAACATGGTTTCCTTGTCATTATCCTTCAAATATTTCAGATTTACCTATTGTCCAGTTCACATGTCTCTCTGGTCTTTTGGACACGAGCAGAGGTTTATCTCTTGTTTAGGATTAGGTTTGTGGTTCCTTCTAAATTCTACTTCAACTGTAACTCTAATGTCTCCACCTAATCTCTTAGTATAAACTAAATTTATACTAGTATTATACTTCTGCTTCCTTTAAAGTTTTTTCCTTCTCTTTCACTAACAATAGCCTCTTGAGTCTTAGTGGCCTTATTGCCTTGCTTGGGGTGAATTGATAAAAAAACTTACAATCATAAAAGTCAACACTGAAAAGTATAGATGTACAGAATACTTGAGGTAATGGTTGGATACAATAAATATTTTATATTTTTAAATATAAAAATAGCTTTAAGTACTCGTTCACATTTCAACAGCTGAGAAAGTATAAACAAATAATTCACATTTGTAGATCTTAAACAATAATCCCTATTTTTAATTGAAAGTATAGAGCTATTATTATATGTTATAACTGAAAACTAGATATATTCATTTACGAGGCAATTTTTGAAACAAATAACATTGGAATAACACTGGTAGCCAATTCTATTTAATGAAGTAATTTAATAAAGTTTCACTGTTAATATTTTGGTTGAACACTGTTTTTAAAAGTTTTTTTTATAAAAAAGAATCAATTTTTCATAATTCAAAAATTATTTTTAACAAAAAGATAAATTTATCTTTAAAAAGAATTGTCAGGTCAAAAGTAATATCTTATTTCAATTATTATTCATATGTACAGAAATATTCTGAAAATTAACATTTTGGGTAGCAGCATATTAAGTAAACAACAGCTAAATAACAGTTTCCCAACAAAAAGAAATTTAAAACAGATCAGATGCATCCAAAATGACATGTTAACTTTGAAATGAAAAACAGTAATCAAATAGAATTGCATGAGTTTTGCTTGGCCATAAATTATTCAAATTATACAGTTTCATAAACAATATATGAAAACTTTCATTGTAACTCTTAAGCAGTGAGAATAATAAAAA